TGATTTGGAGCTAGTACCACCCCATATATATGTATGTTGAGGAATTTGAAACTGAATGGAAACTCTGTGTTCCCAACAAGATATGTGAATGACGGCTTTCACACACACTTATCTCTCAGAAATGAGCATGTGGAGAGACGTTCGTTCATCTAGCACAAACGGAAAGGTTTGCAGTGGAAACAATTACTCTGGTTTTTCATTCTATTTCCTACTTCCGGTTTCAAGTTCCTGCAGTTTACACTGCAAAATCGTGTTGGACCCAATACCTCCCCATAATTATGCATGTAGTGGAGTTTCCAAATGAAAAGAAACTTTGTGTTCCCAAAAAGCTAGTTGAAGTTGGTTTTCACACACATTTATTTCTAACAAATGAGCATGTGAACAGACGTTCGTTCATCCAGCACAAAGTGAACGGGATGCAGGAGAAACACTTACTCTGGGTTCTCAGTCTGTTTCTTAGTGCTGGTTAGAACTTACTGCAGTTTTCACTTTAAAACTGAGTCGGAGACAGTACCACCCCATATTCATGTCTGTAGAAGAGTCTCCAAACGAAAAGAAATTTTGTGTTCCCAAGAAGATAGGAGAAGAACGGCTTTCACACACACTTATATTTCAAAACTGAGCATGTTGAGAGACTTTCACTCACCTAGCACAAAGGAAAAGATTACAGGAGAAATACTTACAATGGTTTCTCATTCTGTTTCCCTTTGCCGGTTGGAAGATCCTTCAGTTTTCAGTGTAAAACTGAGTTGGAGTCAGTACATAGAAATACACGTGTGTATTGTAGTTTCCAAATGAAAAGAAAATTTGGGTTCCGAACAAGTTGGTGAAGGATGGCTTTCACACACACTTATCTCTCAGAACTGAGCATGTGGAGAGACGTTCATTCATCTCGCACAAATGGAACTGGTTACAGGAGAAATACTTGCTCTAGTTTCTCAGACTGTTTCCTAGTGCCGGTTTCAAATTTCTTCTGTATTCACTGTAGAAACGTGTTGTTGTCAGTACCTCCCCATATATATTTATGTAGATGAGTTTCCAACTGAAAAGAACATTGTTGTTCCCAACCAGCTTCGTGAAGGATGACTTTCACACACATTTATCTCTCAGAACTGAGCATGTGGAGAGACACTCGTTCATCTAGCACAAAGAACAGTTTGCAGGGGAAACACTTACTGTGGTCTCTCAGTCTATTTCCTAATTCCAGGTTCAAGTTCCTGCAGTTTAAACTATAAAACCATGTTCGACCCAGTACCTCCCCATATTTATCTATGTAGTCGAGTTTCAAATAAAAAGAAACTTTGTCTTCCCAACAAGCTAGTTGAAGGTTGGTTTTCACACACATTTACTTCTAACAACTAAGCATGTGCAGAGACTTTTGTTCATCTAGCACAAAGGGAACCAGATGCAGGAGAAACACTTACTCTGTGTTCTCAGTCTGTTTCCTAGTGCCGGGTTGAAATTACTGTGTTTTTCACTGTAAAACTGAGTCAGAGACAGTACCTCCCCATATAAAATTATGTAGTGGAATTTCCAACTGAGAAGAAAGTTTGTGTTCCCATGGAGTTAGGTGAAGGACCACTTTAAAACACACTTATCTCTCAGAACCGAGGTTGTGGAGAGACGTTCGTTCACCAAGCACAAAGGAACGTGTTGCAGGAGAAACAGTGACACTTTTTTCTCAGTTTGTTTCCTAGTGCCGGTATGAATTTCCTCCATTTTTCACAGTAAAACAGAATTGAAGCTAGAATATTGCCATATATATATATGTAGTGGAGCTTGGAACTGAAAAGAAACTTTGTGTTCCCAACAAGCTAGGTGAAATACAGCTTTCACACACACTTAAATCTCAGAACTGAGCATGTGGAGAGACCTTTGTTCACCTAACACAAGGAAAAGGTTGCAGGGGAAACACTTACTCTGGTTTCTCTGTCTTTTCCTTTTGCCGGTTTGAAGATCTTGCATTTTTCAGTGTAAAATCGAATTGGAGAAAGTACATAGAAATAAATACGTATGTAGTTTAATTACCAACTGAAACGAAACTACGTGTTCCCAAAAAGCTATGAGAAGGACGGCTTTCACACACACTTATCTCTCAGAACTGAGCATATGGAGAGATGTTCATACATCTAGCACAAATATATCTGGTTTCATGAGAAACACTTACTGTACTTTCTCAGTCTTTTTCCTAGTGGCAGTATGAATTTCCTGCTCTTTTCACTGTAAAACCGAGTTGGGGTCAGTAACTCCCCATATATATTTATGAAGATGTGTTTTCATCTGAAAAGGAACTTTGTGTTCTCAACAAGCAAGGTGAAGGACGACTTTCATAAACACTCATCTCTCAGAATTGAGCTTGTGGAGAGACATTCATTCATCTAGCACAAAGGGAACGGGTTGCAGGAGAAACACATACTCTGCTTTCTCAGTCTGTTTCCTAGTGCCAGTTTCAAATTCCTGCAGTTTTCACTATATAACCATGTTGGTGTCAGTACCTCCACATATATATTTATGTAGATGAGTTTCCATCTGAAAAGAAAATTGGTGTTCCCAACAAGCATCGTGAAGGATGGCTTTCACACACACTTATCTCTCAGAACTGAGCATGTGGAGAGATGTTTGTTCATCTAGCACAAAGGAACGGTTTGCAGGAATAACCCTTACTGTGGTCTCTCAGTCTGATTCAAAGTGCTGTTTTTAAGTTCCTATAGTTTTCACTGTAAAATGAATTGGAGCCAGCACCTCACCATATATATGTATGTAGTGCAATTTGCAAGTGAAAAGAAACATTGTGATCCCAACAAGCTAGGTGAAGGTCTCCTTTCACACACTCTTAATTCTCAGAAATGAGTATGTGGAGAGAATTTCATTCATATAACAAAAATGTAACGGGTTGCATTAGAAACACTTACCCTGATTTCTAAGTCAGTTTCCAAATACTGTATTGAAGTTCCTACAGTTTTCACTGTAAAATGAGTTACAGCCAGTAACTCCAAATATATATGTATGTAGTGGAGTTTGCAACTAGAAGGAAACTTTGTGTTTCCAACATGCAATTTGAAGGACGGCTTTCACACACCCTTATCAATGAGAAATGCGTATGTGGAGAGAATTTCGTCCATCTAGCACAAAGGGAATGGTTTGAAGGAGAAACACTTTCTCTGGTTTGTCAGTCTGTTTCCTAGTTCTGGTTTAAATTTCCTGCAGTTTTCACTATAAAAGCATGTTGGTGCAACTATCTCCCCCTATATATGAATGTAGTGGAGTTTGAAAATGACAAGAAACTTTGTGTTCCCAACAAGCTAGTTGAAAAACATCTTTCACACACACTTAAATCTGAGAACTGAGCATGTGGATAGATGTTCGCTGACGTAGCACAAATTAAAAGGTTGCAGGAGAAATGCTTTCTCTGGTTTCTCAGATTGTTTCCTTGTGCCGGTTTGATGTTCCGGCATTTTCATTGTAAAATCGAGTGGTGACATTACCTCCCCCTATATATCTATGTACTGGAATTTCCAAATGAAAAGAAACTTTGTGTTCCCAACAAGCTAGTTGAAGTACGGCAGTTACTCACCCTTATATCTCAGAACTAAGCATGTGGAGAGAAGATCATTCATCTATCACAAAGGGAAAGTTTTGCAGGTGAAACACTAACTCTGGTTTCTCAGTCTTTTCCCAAGTGCCGATTGGAAGTTCCTGCAGTTTTCACTGTAAAACCGAGTTGGAGCCAGAACCTCCCCATATATAACTATGTAGTGGGGTTTCCAACTGAATAGATACTTTGTGTTCCCATCAAGCTAAGTGAAGTATGGCATTTACAAACACTTATCTCTCAGAACTGAGCATGAGGAGAGACTTTCCTTCATCTAGGAAAAGGAAATGGGTTGCAAGAGAAACACTTACTCTGGTTTCTCACTGTGTTTGCTAGTGCTTGTATGAAGTTCCTGCAGTTTTCACTGTAATACCGTGTTGCAGCCATTACCTCCCCATGTATTTATATGTACTGGAATATCCAACTGAAAGTAATCTTTGTGTTCCAAGCAATCGAGGTGAAGTACAGCATTTACACAAATGTATTTCTCAGATATAAGCATGTGGAGAGACGTTCATTCATCTAGCACAAAGGGAACGTCTTGCAGGCGAAACACTTACTGTGGCTTCTCAGTCTGTTTCCTAGTGTCGGTTTGAAGTTCCAGAAGTTTTCACTGTAAAACCGCTTTGGAGCCAGAACCTCCCCATATATTTGTAAGCACTGGAGTTACCAAATGTAAAGAAACTGTGTTCCCAACAAGCAAGTTGAAGTAAGGCTTTGACGTACACTTATCTCTCAGAAGATAGTATGTGGAGAGACGTTCGTTCATCAAGCACAAAGGGAACGGGTTGCAGGGGAAACACTTACTCTGGTTTCTCAGTCTGTTTCCTAGTGATGTTTTGAAGCTCCTGAAGTTTTCACTGTAAACTCGGGTTGGAGCCAGTATATCCCCATATATATGTATGAAGTGGTGTTCCCAAGTGAAATGAAACTTTGCCTTCCCAACAAACTAGGTGAAGGATGACTTTCACACACACTTATCTGTGAGAACAGAGCATGTGGAGAGACATTCGTTCATCTAGCATAAAGGGACAGTGTTGCATGGGAAACACTTACTGTGTTTTCCCAATCTTTCCCTAGTGCCGGATTGAAGTTCCTCAAATTTACACTGTAAAACAGAGTTGGAGCCTGTAACTCCACATATATATAATATGTAGTGGAATTTCCAACTGAAAAGAATTTTTGTGTTCCCAACATGCTGGATAAATGATGGCATTTACACACACTTATGTCTCAGAAGAAAGCATATGGGAGATGTTTATTTATCTAGCACAAAGGGATTGATTTGCAGCAGATACACTTACTCTGGTTTCTCAGTCTGTTTCCTAGTGCTGGTTTGAAGTTCCTGCAGTTTTCACTATAGAACCATGTTGGAGACTGTACCTACCCATATATTTGTATGAAGTGGAGTTTCCAACTGAAAAGAAACTTTGAGTTCCCAACAATCTAGGTGAAAGACGGCTTTCACAGACACTTACCTCTCAAAACTGACCATGTGGAGGGATGTTCGTTCATCTAGCACAAAGGGAAAGTGTTGCAGGTGAAACAATTTCCCTGGTTTCTCAGTCTGTTTCCTTGTGCTGGTTTGAAGTTCCTACAGTTTTCACTGTAAAAACGAGTTGGAGCCAGTACCTACAATTATATATGTATGAAGTGGAGATTCCAACTGGCAAGAATCTTTGTGTTCCCAACAAGGAAGGTGAAGGAAGGCTTTCAAATAAACTTACATCTCACGGCTGACCATAAGGAGAGACGTTCGTTCATCTAGCAAAAACGGAATGGTTTGCAATGTAAACACTTACTCTGGTTTCTCAGTAAGTTTCTTAGTGCCGGTTTGAAGTTCACGCAGTTCTCACTTATAAACCGAGTTGGAGCTAGTACCTACCCTAATATATGTATGTAGTGGAGTTTCCCACTGAAAAAAACTGTTGCCAACAATCTGGGTGAAAGAAGACATTCACAGACACATATCTCTCAGAACATAGCATGTGGAGAGACTTTTGTTCATCTAACAGAAAGGGAATGGGTTGCAGGAGAAACAATTTCTCTGAATTTGCAGATTGTTTCCTAGTGCCAGTTTGAAGTTTCAGCCATTTTTACTGTAAAACCAGGTTGGAGCCAGTATCTCCTCATATATATGTATATAGAGGAGTTTCCAAATAAAAAGAAACTTTTAGTTCCCAACAAGTTAGTTGAAGCTCGGCTTTCACACACACTTATCTCTCAGAACTGAGCATGTGGAGAGACGTTCGTTGATCTAGCACAAAGTATCAGGTTGCAGGAGAAACACTTGCTCTGGTTTCAAAGTCTGTTCCCCAGTGCTGTTTTGAATTTCCTGCAGTTTTCACTGTAAAACCGAGTTGGAGTCAGTACATAACCATATATTTGAAGGAACTTGAGGTTCCAACTGACAGGAAAATTTGTGTTCCCAAGAAGCTAGGTGAAGGACGCCTTTCACAAGCACTTATACCTCACAAGTGAGCAAGTGGAGAGACATTCGTTCATCTAGCACAAATGGAACAGTTTGCAGGAGAAACACTTACACTGGATTCTCAGTCTGTTTCCTAGTGCCCATTTGAAGTTCCTGCAGTTTCACTGTAAAACCGAGTTAGAGCCTGTACAAACCCATATATATGAATGTATTGGATTTCCCATCTGTAAGTAACTTTGTGTTGCCAGTAAACTTAGTGAAGTAGGGCTTTCACACACACTTCTCTCAGAACTGACCATGTGGTGAGAAGTTCATTCATCGAACACAAACTGAACGGGTTGCTGGAGAAACACTTTATTTGGTTTCTCAGGATGTTTCCTTGTGCTAGTTTAAAGTTTCTGCAGTTGTCACTTTAAAACCAACTTGGAGCAAGTACCAAACCTTACATATGTATACAGTAGAGTTTCCAACTGACAAGAAACTATGTGTTCGAAACAAGCTAGGTGAAAAATGGCTTTTACACATACTTACTTCTCACAATTCAGCATGTGGACAGAAGTTCTTTCATTTAGCACAAAAGGAACGGGTTTCAGGGGAAGCACTTTCTCTGTATTCTCAGTCTTCTTCCTAGTGCCGGTTTGATGTTCCTGCAGTTTACACTTTAAAACCGTGTCCGAGCCATTACATCCCTATATATATGAATGCAGTGGAGTTTACAACTGAAAAAAACTTTGTGTTCCGAACAAGCTAGGTGAAGGAAGGCTTTCACACACAGTAATCTGTCAGAACTGAGCATGTGGAGAGACGATCATTCATCTATAAAAAGGGAACATGTTCCAGAAGAAAAGCTTACTCTGGATTCTCAGTCTGTTACCTAGTGCCAATATGAAGTTCCTGAAATTTTCAGTTTAAAACCGAGTTGGAGCTAGTACTTGCCAATATATATGAATGTAGTGTTTTTTTCAACTGACAAGAAACATTGTGTTCCCAACAAGCTAGCAGAATAAAGGCTTTCACACAAACTTATCTCTCAGAACTGAGCATGTGGAGAGACGTTCGTTCATCTAGCACAAAGAAAATGGTTTGCACTAAAAACACTTCCTTTGTTTTCTCACTCTGTTTCCTAGTGCCGGTTTTAAGTTCCTGCAAATTTCACTGTAAACCCGATTTGGAGCCTGTACCTCCCCATATATATGTATAAATTTGAGTTTTGAACTGACAAGGAACTTTGTTTTACCAACAAGCTTGGTGAATGACGGCTTTCACATACACTTATCACTCAAACCTGAGCAAGTGGAGAGACGTTCATTTGTCTACCACAAAGGGAACGGTTTGAAATAGAAACACTTACTCTTTTTTCTCAGTTTCCTAGTGCCGGTTTGAAGTTCCTGCAGTTTTCACTGTAAAACCGAGTTGGAGTCAGTACCTCATGATATATATGTACATAGTGGAGTTTCCAAGAGAAAAGTAACTTTGTGTTCCCATCAAGCTAGGAGAAGGACGGCTTTCACAGACACATATTTCTCAGAACTGAGCAAGTGGAGAGAGGTTCATTCATCTTCCACAGAGAAAACGGGATGCAGGAGAAACACTTCCTCTGGATTCTCAGTCTATTTCCTACTGACACTATGAAGTTCCTGCAGTTATTACTGTTAAACCAAGTTGGAGCCAGTACCTCCCCTTATATATGTATGTACTGGAGATTCCAACTGACAAGTAACTGTGTTCCAAACAAGCAATTTGAAAGACTGCTTTAACACACACTTACCTTTCAAAACTAATCATGTGGAGAGACGTTCTTTCATCTAGCACATAGGGAATAGGTTGAGGGAGGAACACTTCCTCAGGTTTATCAGTCTAATTCCTAGTGCCCATTTGAAGTTCCAGCATTTTTCACTGTAAAACCGATTTGGAGCCAGTACTTACCCATATATATGTATGAAATGGAGATTCCAACTGACAAGAATCTTTGTGTTCCCACAAGCTAGGTGAAGGACGGCTTTCACATACACTTATCTCTCAGAACTGAGCAAGTGGAGAGACCTTCGTTCATCTACCACTAATTGAACAGGTTGCAGGGGTAACTCTTACTCTGGATTCTCAGTATGTATCCTAGTGCCAGATTGAAGCTCCTGCAGTTCTAACTTTAAAAACGAGTAATGCTGTATCTACCCAAATATATTTATGAATTGAGATTCTATGTGAAAAAAGACTTTGTGTTACCAACAAGCTAGTTAAAGGACGGCAATCACACACATATATCTCTCAGAAATGAGGAAGAGTAGAGATGTTCTTTCATCTAGCACAAAGGGAATGGATTGCAGCAGAAACATTTACACAGGTTTCTCAGCCTGTTTACTAGTGCCCGTTTGAAATTCCTGCAGTTTTCACTGTAAAACCGAGTTGGAGCCTGTACCTACCCATATATAAGTATATATTGGATTTCCCAACTCTAAAGAAACTTTGTGTTGCCAGTAAGCTTACTGAAGGACGGCGTTCACACACACTTATCTCTCTGGTCTGAGCATGTGGAGAGACGTTTATTCGTCAAGTACAAATGGAACGGTTTGCTGGAGAAAAACTTCCTCTGGTTTCTCATTCTGTTTCCTAGTGCCGGTTTGAAGTTCCTGAATTTTCACTGTAAAACCATGTTGGAGACAATACCTACCCTTATATATGTATGTAGTGGGGTTTACAAATTAAATAAAGTATGATTTGCTTGAAAGCGAGTTGAAAGTCAGCTTTCAAGCACAATAACCTCTCCAACAGTGCATGTGGAGAGACGTTAATTCATCTAGCACAAAGGGAACAGGTTGCAAGATAAACAATTAATCTGGTTTCTCAGACTGTTTCCTAGTGCTGGTTTGATATTCCTGCAGTTTTCACTGTAAATCCATGTTCAAGACAGTACATCCCCATATATATGTATGTAGTGGATACTACTAATTATAAGAAAATTATTGTTCCCAGCAAGCTATGTGATTGACGACTTTCACACAGACTTATCAATCGGAAATGAGCAAGTGGAGAGACGTTCGTTCATCTAGCCAAAGGGAACGGGTTGCAGGAGAAACACATAATTTGGTTTCTCAGGTTGTTTCTTTGTGGTGGTTTGAAGTTCCTGTGGTTGTCACTTTAAAACTTAGTTGAAGGTAGTACCTACACATATATATATACTAAGTGGAGTTTCCAACTAACAAGAAACTTTGTGTTCCCAACAAACTAGTTGAAAGACGGCTTTCCCACACATTTACCTCTCACAAATCAGCATGTGGACAGAAGTTCAGTCATTTAGCACAAAAGTAACGGGTTGCAGGAGAAGTACTTACTCTGTATTCTCAGTCTGCTTCCTAGTGCCATTTTGATGTTCCTGTAGTTTTCACTGTAAAACTGTGTCGTAGCCAGTACCTCCCTATATATATGAATGCAGTGGAGTTTCCAACTGAAAAAAAACTTTGTGTTCTGAACAAGCTATGTGAAGGAAGGCTTTCACACAAAATTATCTCTCAGAACTCAGCATGTGGAGAGACGATCTTTCATCTAGCACAAAGGAAAAATGTTGCAACAGAAACACATCTTCTGGATTCTCAGTCAGTTATCTAGTGCCGTTTTGAAGTACCTGCACTTTTCATTGTAAACTTGAGTTGCAGCCAGTATATCCCAATATATATGAATGTAGTGGATTTCCAACTGGCAAGAAACATTGTGTTCCTAACAAGCTAGGAGAAGGTAGGCTTTCACACACACACTTCTCTCAGAACTGAACAAGTGGAGAGACTTTCATTCATGTAGCACAATGGGAAGGGCTTACAGGATAAACACTTATTCTGGTTTCGCGGTCTGTTTCCTAGTGACAATTTGAAGTTCCTGCAATTTTCACTGTAAAACAGTGTTGGAGCCAGTACCTCAACATATATATTTTTGTAAT